ACACACACACACACACACACATGCATGCATATATATGGTATGTTTTACAATTGCCAAAGTTTTTTCTGTTTTTTCAAAATTGGATGCTACACAACCCTATTGATAGCATAGACTTAAATTTTGCGAACTGAGGAAAAGAATTTACCAAGAATAAATTCTATGAGCTTTAAAGCGTTTTCTTCTCCTCCATTAGCATTATTCTTAGGAAAGGAATGGTAGATGCTTCTCTAACAAGAAAAAATATGTACAAAACTTTTTATTTGAAATTATTAATCTGACTTCTTTACAATCAACAATGTCAAAGGAAACATCATCATGATCAATAAAATTATAGGCAAGATTTACTTTCAAGCATCCAAATAGAACTTTTCAGCATGTCTTTTGTAAGACCATTTGAGAATTCAGTTCCTCTTTCACTTCAGTTTGGTTTCACTCTTTTATATCGTATTTTCACCGGTAATTTTTCTTTCTTAAAAATGAAAAAGCTGTTTAAGTTTTTAATTTAAAAAAAAAAACACAAACTTCCTTGAAATAGGCTAGATTAGAAACATCACCTTTAATCATTAATCTTGTGTGTCTAGAATGTGAACTATAGCCAAGCCCTCGTGCATATATAGCTGATGCAGGTGCTCCAGCAAGAACCTACAATAAATAAACAATATATATCATTTAACATGTTTCAAAACATGTAGCATATGTAACAAATGAACTAACAACAGGAATCCCTGCACCTTTCTTTCTAAACATTTCATATGAATAAAATTCTAGAAAACAAATACATGAATGATTTTAGACAAAAATACTTGAAATAGAAGATAAGAATAGAACACATCATAAAACAACTTGAAGCATCAGCGCACTTCTGCACTCTCCTACTTAGTTAAGTGAAAAACATGAAACTTTATATCATACGCTGACAAGAACATTAATTAAATACAAAATACAATACAACAGTCTTCTCTTTTACACATTCAATTTTAAATGCTTAATGATCGACAACATACATCAGTGCCATGACCAAAATGCACAAAACATTATAACTTCTTGTCCATATTCCTTTCATCAGTAAAGAGTCATGCTTCAATTTAAAATTCGATGACTAATTAGATACCATAATCCATGTACGCTAAAACTTAGCATCAACGTGCAAGAAGTAATCCATGCTCCATTATTAGCATTTCAGTTCACTATAAAAAGATTCTTACAATAATTAAGAAAATGAAACTTGATAGAGAACTAAAAATTCTGCAAAAAAAAAAGGAATAATAAAATAAGAAAAAATGAAGCACTCATTCTATCGAATATAAATTTCAACTAGAGGAAGAGGAACTATTTTGGAATAAAAACTAGAAACAAAAAACAAGAAAGCTAACAACATCGAAAGCCAGCATAAGAAAAAATGATATTTCTAACTAAATGGTTCGAGCACTTGGAGCTTGTACTTAAAGAAAAATCTAATAACTCATAGAAGCTTTTGATTTATGTTTTAAACAACATTTGGTTGAAATGGAGCTCTTCTATACATTGAGCTACACTTCCAAAATGAACTTGAAGGTACTTCTAGTAAAACTGATTTAAGGTTCAAAACACGATCAATTTCGTCTTCAGTAAGGACAAAGAATTGTTGATATTCAATGAATCTAGGTATATCAAAATGATATACAAAAAAAAAACGCATGAAGAACAGAATACTAGTAATTTGTCATTATTAATTTTTATTAAGATAAAAAAGGCCAGGATAAAATACTTGGGATTAATTTTATCAAACCTCATTCCTCACTCATTTGCGTTGAGTGTTACATAAGGTGTTAACTCTATTTTGCACAAAATTAATTCAAGTTAGCATTGGTATAACTTATTTCGTCAAAATTCTTCCACATTTATTTTATTTACCCATACGATGGTGTCTCTATTTTCCAAACCAGATCTTCAATAGTTGCTACTATCAACCATGTTTCCATTTTAATTATTTCTAAACTTATCTTTCATAAGTGTACCACATATCCATATTAGTATTCTCATTTGTACTATATTCAACTTATTTATTAATGACATTTATAGCCAAGACTCATAGTCATACAATATTGTTGCTCTAATTGTAATTTCAAAATTTTGCCTTTAAGTCTTCATGAAACTCATGCAGTATTGCTTGAATTTCATTTTAGCATAAAACGGTTTTCTTATCATTTAGCATTCTTGGAAAGCTTCTCCAATTTAACAGCACAAAGTTAATTATAGAATTTATAACTCCATTTATGCTTATCCTTAATAGATCCCATATACTTAGATGTGATCGATTAATCCTCTAACAATATTGGCTCCTCATTGAAAATACCATTATAACGAAAATTACACATAATACACTGAATCTTTATTCTACTATTCCTAAGCTATTATCTACTAAATGTGCATTTATTTGTTCGAAATTTTCACCTACTTTAACAAAATTCTAAGCTAAAAAAACTATCATCTTCATATAGTAGACATCAAAGTGCCTCGATCCAATAGTTCTTTATAAGCATCTTCATAACCAATAAAAAAAATTGAATTAAATATAGAGGATAGATATTACAATATGAAATCTACAAATAACATATATCAAAATACATCACTTTATATATTTTTGTATGAATCCCAACATGACATTTAATTTGATTGCCACTACTCAGACCTATACAATACAGTTGATCAAATTACAATTTAATGAAATTTATACATTCATACATCCGTGAAATTTGGTATTACAATTTTGAGTATTTCACTTAACTAAGTTGGTAATGAAATTTGGTATTGCTGGATACATTCATACATCCGTGAAATTTGAAATTTGAAATTTATACATTCAATTTAACTACACTTAACCCCAAAATTTCTATTTTTGTTTTTCTTTATTCTTTATATGATAGCTCTAAGACTCGGGCATACAACAATTATGTCTCACTTGGCCTTTCATCAAAATTATCTAATTAATTTCATTACCAATTAAATTACACATAATCGGTCTTCATTTTAGTAATTCTAAGCCTCTTATCTTCAAAAAAATATTCTTTGTTCTTCTAACCTACACTCATTTCATAGAGGTACAAACTAGTAGAATCATGCCATTTGCAATAACCACACTCTATATATCACTTTGAAATAAGTTCGTAAACATTATAAAAAGGTATGAGTTTAATATTGGTCCTAATATATAATCCTTACAATTGACAGCAATCAAACAACTAAAAACCACTACTAATCGTAATCAGGGCTCCATCACACTTGTCTATAATACTCAATATGCATTTGATATGCACTTTTTCGGGTCAATACGCATCACACAAAGTATTATTGTATTCAATATGATTTCCGAAAAGTTAAAAATCAACAAAAATTAAAAAAAAATTTATTTGCCTATTATATTTTTTCATTAATTTCCTTGGAAAAAAATATATAAATGATAGATCCATATGAAAAGAAACAAATTAATTCTCTGATATTTATGTGATATTCGTGAGCTTATATTCCATTAACATCTTCCATTACTTAATTGTATGACTCATAATATTAACTCTCCTATAATTGCAATAATTCTAAGATTATCCTTTTTATAAATTTTGGTGTAAAATTATTACCCCACTTATTCAAATCATCCTAATCTTAAATATTTCATTAAGAAGTTTGTCAAGCAAAATTTTAATCTAGATCCAAATAAAAATCACATCTAAACCTAAAAATCTATTTATAACCATCCAATATTTTCAAAGAGCAAAACACAATGCACAAGAATTTATTTTTCTTCAAATCGCAAAACAAAACGGAAGTTTTGTTAACCAAAACTCTCATAACTTATATATAACTAAAGCAAGTAATGATATTCATTGACAATTATAAAACAAGATGTGTTTATTAGATAACATAAAACTTTATATAGAATATAAAAAATACGACACGCATATCTAACTTGAAGGCAAACTTTAAGGGTAACTTGCAAATTAAAATTTCTAAATAGTTTTTTTGTGATAATTAAAAATATAAGATTTGTAGAAAAACTCTTTAATTCATACGAAAGTCTAGATTTTAAAGCATAAATAATCTAATAAAATTTCAAGTCAAGTCATTGGGAACGCTATCCTATGAGCTAATTAGACGAAGAAAAACTACAAATCAAGTTGGAAGCTACGTATGTCTGTCACTCCTTCACATGTCGAAGACCAAGGCAACCTGCTTGATTTAATTGAATGCCCAAGATTATCATTAGTCTACTCTTTTGTGTGGCATATATCAAGGTCAAACCGCTAAGATGAAAAAAAAAAGCCCCAAACGAGCAATCTATTATTTCCTATTGCAAACCTCCTATACCAAAATGTATCGCTTCATTGAATTTCTGCTACATTGTTTCACTTTGTCGAACCAAATCCGCTCCACAGCAACATTTCGTTTCGAAGCGTGCCAGAATAGTTCTCACACAAAGCTCCTGATTCGCGCATAGTCATCTTGCAACTCTGAGATGAAGCTGACTACTAGCACTTCACCTCATATTGAGCTTTGAAACGCACATTTGAAATCATTGTATGAATCTTCATTAAAACTTACAAAATTTTACTTTTTAGATTAATATATAGAATTTTTAATAAATATGCTCATTTAATAAGAATTTTTATTTAGATCAACAATTTTATACTTTAAACCTTTTTTATTTTTCATCCCTCCTCGTTCTTATTTTTTAACCACATGACAAAGCAATCTTTACCCATAACATCATTTTATTTTTTTTCAACTTTCTTTTAATTTCCTGCAAATATATGACATTTCATGGTATTCTTAAAGTGTCAAGTAGTAAATCTAGCATTAGTTTTAGACTAGTAAACCCAAGCTCATCTTTTACCAAAATTCAATGTGAGGCATCACTTGCAAGTGACGTCCTAGCCAACCCAAACCTGTCTCACCAAAATTTTTGACACTAATAACACTTAACATCTTAAATCCTCACCTCCTTCTGGCTATAATTTTGTTGGGCCATGGCATGAAACTTTCTAACAATGCCTATCGCTAACAAACATTAAATTGTATTCAATTAATAATTTTTTGCTTAAGCATATAACTGTTATCAGTCTAGAATCGATCCACAACTTTCTAAAACAGTTTGAGTCTATAAATGACTACTTTGCCGAGACCAAAGAAAATGGTACATACTAAAATTTATATCTCAAACAACCATAGGCTCGAAATGATTACAAAACTCAAGATCCTCAATGAACTGAACATTTACAAGTAATCAATTATAAATGGTGTAAAGGCATCTCCTGTCGCATTGTTTCACAATAAATTGGTTACAAAGCATAAAAACAAGCCAGTTCTCAAATCAGGTTAGGTTCACATGAAATATAATTGAATGAAGTCCTATAAATATAGTCATGCCCAAACCCAACTCAATCTGCAAATTAGCATTTAATGGTTCATTTCTTCAAGTTAGATTAAGTTGGCTCAACTAAATTGTATTAACATATTTTGGTTAGGTTGGGCCAAGCTAAGACTTTGAATTCAGATTATGAAATATTATGATGTTGAAAAGCACTTGAAATAGAATTTATGCCCATCAAAGTTCTAAAAAAATGAGAAACAGGCGAGGATGGTTTAGATATGCCCATATGGTCTAATAAGTACAATGCCTATCAAAAAGTATTGTTGGTGCATTTTTACATATTAAAATTACCTAAGTCACAAATCCACCATCTCATCTTCAATAAATATCACCCCCAAATATCCCATCTACATAACCATTTCTCTATTTATACTTTCCAGTTTTGTCGCACATCCATTTTACCATTATCCCAACAGAAAAACTTCCCAAAAATAAAAAAAAATAGATGAAGCCTATCACTCGGGGTGCCTTTTTACAAGCCACTACACTCGATTTGGTATATTATTCTTCATTTTAAGAAGCTCCCGCCACTTCGATAATCTTCATCAGTTCAACATGCTTTCAATATTAACTTTCAAGATTTATCACTCACGCGCATTTTTATTAGCGGCAAAAGGATCAAAACCTCTGACCAAAGCAGCCAGAGTCACTTAACAAAAAAAAAAAACATCACTGTGCGCCGCTGTAATTCAGTAAAAAAAAATGCACGGGAATGTTTTTTTGTTGCTCAAACGAATTTCAGAGATATTATAGAGGGAGCGGCAGTTAATAGAATCATTAAAAGTAAGGATGGGAGAGAAGAAATCGATCTTTACCGCCGCCTGTCGAGCACGGAAAACTTCCAGCGAGCGACGAGCTAAAATTCCCGCCATCGACGTATAGGACTCGAGAGAGACCGATCGGAGGAAGGCTAACTTCAGATGAATTGCAGAAGCTGGAAATAGGAATGCGCTTTGGAACTAGGGATGTCAAAACGACTCGTTCGCGAACAGCTCTCGTTCTGCTAGTTAAGAGCAGCGAACAGCTCGCGTTGAAGGGCTGAACGGGAATAAAAATTTGTGGTATTTGTCTTTGTTTCAAGTCATGAGTAATTCTTATACTATTACATATTTACATATTTATAATTGACTCTAGGACCCTTTAATATTTGTAATTATTCTTGGCACCGTTTTATATTCATAATTGTTTGGCACCCTAAACATATTCATAATATTTGTAATTGTTCTTGGCACCATTTTACGATCGTCTAATAATCATTCGATCGGCTAGAAGGTCTTTGGTTGATCTTCTCGAGAAAATCCCCCATAAAGACTCTCTTATTATTGGAGTGAACTTAGACCATAAGCAGAGGTTGCATTATCGTAATATGACAGACAACTCTTTTTTCGATAAGGGGTCTTTATAGAGGATTGGAAAGATATTGTGGGTTGTCATTTGACCATCTTCGTGAAGAATTCCAAAATCAGTTGGGAGAGTTAATTGTAGACGGCTATTCAGGTGCATAATGTTCTTTCATTCGGCTGTACTTTCGTTCGTTCGACCTATGAGTCTAACTAAATCAAATGATATTTGACGCCTCCAGCTTTCAACAATCCTGATATAGTCCTATAATATCTTTTTTGCGAGATCCATTGAATTTTTTTGAGATTCGTGCAGTCATATTTTTTATGTACATATTTAATTTCATGTGTCGCTTATTTCTTGAAAATAACAACTGTGATAATAATAAGATAACTAAATGAAAAAAATTACTTAATTAATTTTGTAATAAGTAATTCTAATAATTAAATTCTCTGAATTTTTGTGTCTTTATTCCCTAAAAATAGGGTGTGATCAACGCTTTTTCATCACTATTTTTTTTGGATTTTCTACCATTCAGTCATTTTTTTTACAGAAGACAATGATGGTGAGTGACAAGAAACCCGCAAGCAAAGAAGCTATATTGAAGTTCTTCGAGCTTTTGACTGAGAGACTCTGTAATCCCATGGGTGAAAAGAAGAAGAAACATGAGAGTACTCGGTCGGCATCAAAGAAGAAATATGCGGATGAGGGATGACCGTCATGTAAGAAGCTGAATGGTGAATGATGATCGGTCGCTCAAAGAGACCAGGAGAAGGGATCTGACTAGAGGGAACAAAGCTGGTTAAGCAAGCAGTGTAAGAAAAACAATCAGTGGAGGAGACGACCTAATGTGCACACCACTCATGCACCATTCATTGCCCCATATCAGCCACCAACGCCCGCTCATACATCAGCACGACAACAAGTGTAGGCAGTTGCGACAACCTACGTCCAGTTGCCCAAAGGTGTGGCTCTCCCGCTTTTTCTAAGGAGTGTATATTAATTTTTTGAAGCTAAAATGTTAAATTTTGGATTATTTTTTTAAGTTTGTTTTCTTTTAATTTGTAATTATTTAGTTAATAAAACAAAAATAATTTAATTTTAAATAAGTATTTGATCACTCTTTATTTAATTTAAAATTATTTTTAATTATAATTTATATTAAATTTTAATTCAATATCAAGTTTTAACTAAGCATCTTAACGAATTGTCGCAAATATGATAAAAAATATGACTCCCCTCCCATCCCTTCTTTATCTCTCATCCTTTGCTCTAACAATCTCTCCAGCTACAACGACCTCTCTGACTCCAACTTAATCTATCTAAATTTGATGAAAATAATTAAAGGTATTTTGAAAGTCAGTAATGTATGCCCCTACTAAAATACTTTTTTTTACTCCACTTATATGCGAAAGCAGATCGTAATATCTAATATTCTCCTCTTCTTGTCATCGTGAATATAAACCACCTCAATGAAACATGTGTGGGGAGCCATAGCTCTCCCAGTTATTATTTGACTGAAGTGAGAAGCTCCATTGAAATTTATTCTATAATTTGCTTTTTATTTCATTATTTACATGTGTGAATATGGATTTTAATATTCTATTTATCCACACATGTCACAATAATAACAACAGCAAGCCCTCATCCCACTAAGTGGGATAAGCTACATGAATCCTTTTTCTCCATTGTGTTCTATTGAGTGCCTTATTTTCATTTAATTTTAAAAGATTAAGATAATTTTTTATACAATATGCCAAAGTCTTTTTTAGGTCTTCCTCCGTCATTTTTAACATAAGACAAATCTAAAACATATACTCTCCCATCCAGATTATCAGATGGTCGGCGTTTAATGTGACCAAACCATCTAAAATGACGCTCTCTAACCTTGTGTGCCACTAGAGCTACACCAACCCTATCGAATATATTCATTTTGCATTTTTTTCTCTAAGTGACTGACTACTCATCCACCAATTCATTCTCATCTTAGCAACACTTAACTTTGTTTTATGCTTCTCTTTTAAATGCTAACATTATGCGCTATAGAGCATTGTAGGTCTCACCAACATCTTATAAAATTTTCCTTTCAATTTTAGAAGTACTTTTTTTATTGCACAATAGGCCTAATGCATTCCTCCACTTCAATACCATCACTTTGAACAATATACCCAATATATTTAAAACGTTCACACCTTTTAATGATTTGATCACCCATAGTTACAACTCTACCACAAAGATCTACTACTACTAAAATTGCATGTCATGTATTAAATTTTAGATCTAATCAAATGAATGTCTTTAGACTTCAATGTAGATCTCAATAATTTAAGTTTTTTCCTAAACTATTTCTCTACTCTTATCCACAAGGAGGATTTCATCAATGAAAAACATGCACCAAGGTACATCCTCCTGTAAATGTCCAATAAGAGCATCCATAACTAAAGCAAAAAGATATGGGCTGAAAGTTGATCTCCAATGTAATCCAACTAAAATAAAAAAATTCTTGGTCAATCCTGCTTTTGTTTGAATGCAAGTACAACTCTAGTATACATTTCTTTAATGACTTGAATATAAGTCATATCAACATCTTTCTTTTATGGAACTATCTGAAGGACTTCTCTTTGAACATTATCGTAAGATTTTTTTTAAATTAACAAAAAACATACGTAGATCCTTCTTATTCTCTTTTTACTTATCCATCAAACTTTTCAATAAACGTATAGCTTCTATGGTAGACCTGCTTCGCATAAATCCAAACTGATTATGAGAAATCTTCATATCAAGTCTTAACTTATGTATAATTACCCTTAAATATGACACATCAACTTAAATTTTATATAATTTTGACACTTCTATGCATCCTATTTGTTCTTAAAATACCCTTATTTACATTTTAAAATAATATTACAGAGTTTAGTAAGCCAAGAAATTCCCAAATTTTCTAAATATTTCCACACTTCAATTGGGATATCATCAGATCCTAGTTAATTTTCTCCCTGGGTTATCCTTAAAGTCTCCTCGACTTATTTCTCATTAATGCGTGATAAAAATAAAATGTTTTATTATTATTGACGATGCTAAGATCATTAAGATCGATCTTCTTTTCATAAAATTCATTCAAAAGGTTATTAAAATAGCTTTCACACATATTTTGAATATATTCATCTAAGAAAGCACTTTTTTAATTGCATCTTTAATAAACTTTACTTGAATTAAATCTTTTCTTTTTGTTTCTCTTTGTTTGGCTAATTTATACAAATTTTTTTTATCCTCTTTAATATCTAATCTATTATAAAGATTACTAAAAATGGAATTTTTATCAAAACAAATTATTCTCTTAGAATTCATATGCGTCACCTTATATTTATCTCAGTTCTATAAGATTTTACATTTAAATTAATTTTCATATCACAACTTCATATATTTTATATTTTCTTGCACATTATCGTTCCACCATCAATTATTTTTTATTTATAAAAAATTTTCCTTTTGGGTCTTCAAGTACATTTTTTGCCACTTATTTAATAGTACTCGTTACTTTAGATCACATAGAATTCACTTCTTCATGAACATACCAAATATTAAAATGTTGAATTTTACTCATAAAAATAATTTTATTTTGTTTCTTTTAGATTCCCTATCTAATTATGTGACAATGTTTCCCTGTATTATTTATATTACAACTCTTCATCTTAAAATTCATAGCTAATAATCAATGTTAAATACTTAACTTTTCACTTGGAATGTCCTTACAATCTTTACATTCTTGACGATCTCTTTTTCTCATAAGAAAATAATCAATTGGTGATTTATTAGATCAATTCTTATAAGTAAGAATATGCTCATGTATTTTCTTAAATAAAGTATTAACAATAACAAAATCACACACTAAAGCAGAATCTAATATGATTCTACCTTCATCATTATTCACTCTAAAATCATAACCTCCATGATTTTTTTTTTTTATCGCTCTACCAACATGTCCATTGAATTTTCCTCTATCAAAAATTCTTTCCTCAAAATGTATCATTTGTATTAATTTTTCTAGGTCAATTCAGATTTTTTTCTTTTGAATCTAGATCTAAACCTTCTTGTGAATCATAATCACTTATAACATTAAAAATCATAACATCAACAACAATTTTTAGAGCTATAATTCTATCTCCAAATCTATTAATTTTTTGAATATCTTTCAAGCTCTTATTTATAATTGCACCAACACTCTTTTCTAGTGCAACTTCTACTTGAATACCAAAGTTTAAAACACAAGCTATCAATCTCCCTGACCTTTTCTCTAACCCATTTAATCTCATGAACACATAAAATATTTATCTTCCAATGAACCATAATATCAACTAATTCTATTAATTTACCTGTGAGAATATCTATATTCCAATATCATATCCTAATATTAACTTCATGAACTAAATTCTTTATCGGCATCCCTCCGCAATGTGAGAACCCTTACTTATTTAACACCGCACCAAGGTGTTGGTGTAACGACCCTTGAATATTTTTTGCCATATCTAGATAATAAAACACATTGTTTCCTGGAGACGTTTTATCATTTACACAAGGATTTAATGGATTCATGACCAGCTTTTTAAACAAATTTTACATTGTTTGTTTACTACTCAACGCAATCCTCAACTTTTTGTATTTGGAGCTTAAGTTTGTACAATGACAACATTTTTCCACACAAATTTTACATTGTTCTTCTACTACCTAACACAACCCTCAACTTTTTGAATTCGAAACTTAAGTCTCTACAATGACAACTTTTTTCCACACATTTCCTCAAAATCTAAAATTTTCTCACCTTTTGTGAGAACTTCCATTCAAGATTCTTTTGTTATTTGTTGATTTAGGCATTGATTTGCAATTTTGCATGTATAATTAGTGTTTTAACATCTTGTTTTTTCTAGATAAAGTCATACAAATAATTTGTTTTACCTAGAAACAATCACTTAAATAAGTCTTTCTCTCTTTGTTTGCCATTTGGATCAGTGAAAACTAGTGTGTGAAGTTGTAGCTCTCCCAGTGGCTACTCGACTAAGATGAGAAGCTCTATTGAAATTTATTCTGTAATTGTCCACCTATGCCTTGATCTACAAGTGTGAATATCTAATTTGGGACTTAATATTATTTTCTTTCACTCATTTCCTCAAACTCTTGAATTTGCTCAAATCACGTAAGAAGTTTCCTTTAAACTTCTTTGCGATTGTGAATATTTGATATGTATGAAAACTTATTCTTCCACACATATCATATACTCACACTCTAGTGTATGTGCTTATTTGCAAGTTTGAATATATGATGTGTGTCTTAATATCTCACTTCTCTTAGATACAATCATGAATAACTTATTTTTCCTAAATATTATCATTTTAATGTTTTATTTTTCTTTTCTATGTTTGATTGTATTATTTCATGCTTGGGGTTGCTGATTTAAGATTCTTAATTTTTATTTTTCCTTAGTAGCATAAACAAGTGCATATGAAGAAGTGAGATGACAAATATATGAACTTGAATAAATATCACAAATGTCTTCCTGAAATTCATCATTGTAATATTAGCTATTTTATAAATCAAGCCATATGCTTATAAACTGTTAAAGATCATTTAAGTGCAGGAGAATGATTTTGTAAGCATTTTTAGATATATAACACACAATTATTAGATATTTACATATCTCATACCTAAATTTTCATATTTACATACATATCACTTCACTTTAGTGCTTTGTGCTTTAAATATATGCATGAAAATGTGCATTCCATCTTTAATAAATGTTAACAGTGAAATGTGTAAATTGAAAGCTTAAAATTAAGAGGTTGTATAATAATCCACTGGACAATGAACATGTCATGTTCTATTAATGTATTTAATAGTCAATAAAGAATATTCAAGCAATCCATATACCTCATATTTTTAACAAATAATAGATAATCATTCATGTTATTTCTATTGTTTTGATTCTTATCGCTTCAGTTTCCTTAATGTTATTTCTCTGTTAATCGTAAATATAAACTTTAATTATTTTTTTCTCGTACTTATTTATGATATACATGTAGTTTTGTTGGTTATGTTAAAATCTTAGACTTACATTGTCTAAAATGAGTTTCAATCACTCTCCAAAGCTAATGAACAAGCGAAACCATCCAAGATATTGTTACTGCAACTTACAATGTAGTATTTTCATTTGTTATAGAAGTGACTATCTTGGAAGAAATTTCTAAAATGCCATTGAAATATAATGGGAAATGATTGTAAATATTTCTAAGACATGGATAGAGTTGATTATACAACACTTGAGATGGATCACCTAAGTAGATCAGCTTTTGATTACATTATTGTGAAGCTTTTTTATTTGATCAAGTTTGAGCTCAAGCTAACTAAAATTATGGTGGCTTTTATGCTGTAGTAAGAACACTATTATGTAATTAATATTTTCTATTCATATCTAAACTTAAGTTATCACTTTAATAAGTACTCGATATATTTTGAATAACAATATATTTGTAGGATGTATGCTATTGTGTCATTAATATTATGTTTGGATGTTAAAACTTCAATGAAAATTTGTATGATTATAAGCATTTGCTTATGTACATTTACATATACTAATGTTCTGTTTTGATGTTTGAGCATGCCTTCTTCTACATTTAAACTTATACTTGCAATCCCTTTTATAATTCCTAAAACCAAATGCTTTTTTTCTTAGAACTTTTGTTTATAAGAAATGAGTGTAATATGATAATACAAGTATATGAGAATTTTTTATTCTTCCACTCATATAGCTAGATTTTTTTAGTTAAATCATTTTATGTCCATTTCGCTAAAGCTAGTGTTTAAGCTTGATGCCAAGTTATTCGATTGCTCTGTAGTAACCACTCAAAAACATGTCCACCGCCACCAACAATTTCATAAAATCCATTTCTACCAGATGTGTAAGAACCTTTTTCATAAGGATGGCTTAGCTGGTTAAGATATATCTACTTTGCCTTATTTGTTACATATATCTAGTTAAGCTATATATCTTCTCCAAATTATTGTTGACATCTTTTTTATTCTTCAATCTAATGAGTTACCCAAAATGAAGTTATCAAATTGTTATTTGCACTATTCACCTTGAGACCACTCGGAACAATTGTTGAACTGGCAATTCACAAACCGGCGTCGGGACAAAGACTGTTGCACCAATAGCATGCATGTCCGCCTTACTCCCCATATCACAACAAAACAACATTGAGTCAGACAACTAAACATCTTCCTTCAATCCCTCAAAACCTTTTTTTTATGGACCACCTGTTTGACTTGCTTCACTCCCTTCGACTGAGTACCTCCTTATGATCTCTTTTTGTTGATCAGACGGACTTCTCTCTTCAGCCTTTTGATATTAACAGTCGTTATTCTCCCTCAGGGCTCTTTATTATTGTCAGTTGACCCTCATCCCTCAGTTTCTTCTTCACTACAGATCAGCTACTCTTTAGCTTCCTTTCTTCCCTTGCATCCCTAGGAGGGTCAAATTTTCTAGTCAAAATCCCGAAAGCCTTTATCATGGTTGCCTCATTTACTGCCTCAGAAGAAAACTTTTTTCTATTCTTCATGCAGTTTCAAATACGAAGTGGTGTTAATGTCAATTTATGAATATGAAAGGGTAGCAGAGTCGATTACAAATGTGAAAAATGTGTCATAATAACTTGTAACATGCCTATTAAATTTGGGACAAATATGTAATTTTACTCTATATACCCCTCAAATCTATAAATAGGGGTTCATTTATTCAATAAAAGAAATACTGAATTTACTCTATAAAAACTTGTGTTACTGTGCATACTGTCTCTCAATCTTCCTCTTTCTCCCTCCCTTTTTTTACTCGTCCGTCCTACGCTGTATTCCTAGGGTGTGATCCACAAAACATATTTGGATTCGACAACATCATAAATGTAAAAATCTAAATTTAGGTGTTAGAAATGTAAATATATGAGGATTTGGTGCCAAAGAAGTTAGTAATAATTTTATTTCTTTTGATGAATAATTAAAACGAATTAAATCTATAGAATAAGATAATATATATTTACTTTTTCAATGTCATAAGGTAAACAATTATCAATTAATATTTTATTTTCTTAAAGCTAATGTTATTAATTTTTTTAAATTTTCTCGTTTGTATTATTCTTAATATTTATTTTACATAACTTATATATATGTCATAATTTTTATGTATGTACACAAAAAATATGTCAACATGAATCTCAAGACAATATGATGAAAAAAAATGACATTGAAATGCTGGACCCACCAAAAAGCCCCATGAAAGTCGTTTGGCTCACGCTAGCCTGTATTCATTTGAACGAACACATCCAAAAAGTATCCACTGCTCAAAGATACAGGTCTATTCAACCGTCAAGAATTCCCTCAACGAGAATCGATGACTGATGACTGACTCAACTCATTCGATCTACCAACATTAGCTGGATGGATCCATCTCTCCAACTATCTCTATGAATCCCCTTAGTAGTCCTACCAGAAGGGCTGATCGACCAACCGCCCCCAACCAGAAGACCAGTCGACAACAATGATTGACTTGCTTCTTCAACATAGTTGACCCAGTGAGAGAATGATAACACCCTGGGTAAAATGTGACTATCAAAATCTAAGAAATATTTTAGGCTTTTGAGGTTAAAAAATTTAATCCTGCTCTAAAATGAATGTATCATATATGTAACTAAATACTAAATATTAAATACTACACAAAAGACAAGTTTAAGTAAATTTTTTGTACCACTTTTATCTTGACACATTGAGGTGTGATATTGAAATGCCAGTCAAGCAAATTGTTTTTTTTTTTGCTTGGGCCGAGCCGCACTATTAAGTCGGGACAATTTTTTTCTAGTCGGCCTTCGGTTTGATATGATGGAATAGACGCTTTCGACAAACTTAAGCACAATAGCGAGTTTGAATATTATTGTTAACTTCAAAAAATAGGATTTAGAGTTTCGATCACTATCACTATGTTGTTTAAGTATATAGAAAATAAAGTTGACTATAACAATTTTTTAGATGAATGTTTATATACTTCAAAATTTAGAAATTACATTAAAATCTATTCTTATTCAAATTATTTTAATTCAATTAATTATGTCGTTAAATTGACTTGCTAAATGACAGTCAGGCGACCCAGATTTGGACCCAATATGCGGGAAGCTGCACCGTTGCCGACAATCTTCCGCTAGGCTGCGGGAGCGGAGGTCTTCCGATAGAAGCCGTACGATTCCTCAATACCGAATGAACTATTGCCACGTGTCGCATCGAGCAGCCACGACCTCCGGCACGTGCGAACTTCACGCCTTTGTGGCAATCTCGTTGTTTCTACGAATGCTCGGGGGCAGTTGTTTGGCTTCAGGAAAACCCGCTCCTAAATATTCTGATTAAGCGCAGCGCAGTGACGACCATTTGCATTTTTCCTTGTCCATGGAGAGTATATAAACCAACGGACGGAAGCGAATGAAAAAAAGGAAATCCCGATCTTTGAAAACGTGGGAAAGGGAAGCAACTCAGGAGCGAGGGGAAGATAGAGGGGAAGCGAAAAATAGCGACCCCCTCTTCCTTGTGTGATTCTCATCACTCCATTGCTGCATAGGCTCACGATCGGGACTGCTCGAACCTCCTACGAGCTTTTGCGGTTGCCGTCGCTTTCTACGACGGTTTTCTTAAGTCATGGAGCCCTATGGACGGAGCCCTGCCGGGGAGGGCCGCCGCCCGGATCCTGACACTGGACTCCAAGGTAAACCCCATCACTGTGCTGGGCTTCAAGCTGTCTTGGTTTCCCCGCTTTTACGGTTGTTTTTTGTCTTTTTTTTTCGCGGCTGGGATTTTGGGGGGGGCTTATAGGGTTTAGAGATTGGAATTTGATCGGAATGATGTTTTCGATGTGGGATAATTCTTTCTGATTGTTTCTGGGATTTTGCATTGTGGTAGAGTCTATGTGGCGGCTGGGGCTTGGTGGCAGCAGTGCCAGCGCTGGCGGAGATTTTCTTTACCCGGAGAGACCGGGTGAGCCAGACTGTGCTTACTTTATGCGGACTGGAGCTTGCGGGTACCGAGAGAGGTGTCGATACAATCACCCCCGTGATCGCGGAGTTGTGGTGAGGAACCTGGACTTTGCTCGGGCTACCCTTTCCCTGCAGTTGGGGTTAATTTGGATGCTATCAGATAACGCTCTTTTTTCTTTTGACCTTAAATTTATTGAAAATTTAACTTAGTTTTGTGTTAAAATGCTCTGAAGTGGAATGCTCGTATTTTGAGCTGAAGTTGTGTTAATTATGTTGAATTCTGCCAATGTGTTTCATTTTGGCAGGGAGGTGAAGTGTTTTGGCCTGGAGCTAGAGAGTATCCAGAGCGTGTGGGGCAGCCTGTCTGCCAGGTATGGCAGTCTGCTTCGGCACTTGATTGTATCTTTCCATAAAGTTTCTGGCGGGTGTTCTCGATGCTAAACTATGGTTGTGGGAAGGGGTGGACGTTTAGTTGGTTGTACATGCCGATGCCTTTTTAAGCCGGGGCTGTCAATATGTTTTCTTCTGTGTTGATGTAATATTTGTATTCTGCAGTACTACATGAAAACTGGGACTTGCAAATTTGGTTCCTCGTGCAAATACCACCACCCACAAGGAGGAGGACCCGTGCAGTCGGTTTCTTTAAATTACTATGGATATCCGCTCCGTCCAGTAGGGTCTCAGTTTTTTTTTTAATTCTTATATGATGTTTAAGTTTTATGATCAGGTTGATAGCATTGCTTTTTTATGTTTTTTTTTTTTGGAAATTTGGCAATGGTTTGAGATGTAGGGCGAGAAAGAATGTTCGTACTACATGAAGACAGGACAGTGCAAATTTGGTTCAACTTGTAAATTTCATCATCCTCAACCTTCTGGTTCCTCTCTGCCCACCTCTGCACCAATATTTTATCCCACGGTGCAGCCCCCTTCAGCCCCTTCAGCCCCTTCAGCCCAACAATATCCTCAAGTGGGAGGTTGGCAAATTGGGAGGTCAGCTTTGACGGGGGCCTACATGCAAGGTTCATACGGACCCATGGTGCTCTCTCCTGGTGTCGTTCCAGTGCCGGGTTGGAGTCCTTATTTGGTTGGTTTGAATTCAATTTTTCTCTTTTATTTTTATAAGCAACATGAGGAACTGACCACTTAACAAATTGTTCATTCCTTTTGTGTCGTCTAACGTGAAGCAGCCACCTTTAGCCCAAACTGTTTCTCCTACTGCACAACAGTCTGTTCAAGCAGGACCCTCTTATGGGCCGGCAAGTCAGTTGTCTCCCTCAGCACCAGCTTACCCTGGTCCTTATTCACCAGTGTCTTCCACTATTGGGCCTTCAAGCAGTAGTCAGAAAGATCATCCTTTCCCAGAGAGGCCTGGGCAACCCGAGTGTCAGTTTTACATGAGGACTGGCGATTGTAAATTTGGTGCTACCTGTAAATACCATCATCCACCAGATTGGAATATACCAAAAACAAATTGCATTCTCAGTCCTATAGGTCTTCCTCTCCGTCCGGTATAATTCTTCTACAAGTGTCAGCCTTTTCCTATCCTCATAATGTAAATTCCAACTGATTTACTTATGTAAATGCATCGAGATTTATCGTTAATGAGCTTTAATAGGGTATGTGTTTCTTGATACATATTATCTTTTCTCTTTTTTTTCTCTTAACATTTCTCTGTATTCTATATCGACAACACGATTTTTATGTTCGGGAACTCATGAAATTCATTTGCACCTTTCAAAACTTAACAATTCTATTATTTTTTAGTATAAAAAATAGGATGTTTTTGCTTAGTAAATAGATTTAATGATTTGCATGCTCTTTGAATTCCTTTGTGTAAATTGAAACCTTGTATTTTTTTTTTTAAACCACATTTTGTGCTGGCATGGCACACCTAAAAGCTATAGTTTCCAGAGCAAGCATAGAAGCTACTGTATGTTTTTTTTTTCCTTTTTTTTTCTTGATAACAATGCAGTTTGTTTAAATGCCTTCGTACCAATAAGTTACTGTTTTATTGTCTTAAATACTATTTCATTCCTTCCTTCCATGTACTTTACCACTTTTGAACGTGTAAGGCAGGTCTTTCTACTTTAGGCCTTCTTGGTTTCATTTGGACATGACTAAGCTATCTAAGAGCTTCTCATGATTGAAGTTTTCTGTCCTTTTGACATAAAGTGTTTTTTGAACTTTGAACCTATTGTTTTGGAGTGCTTGGCCTGAATAGTTGTAATATGATTTGTAACGTAAGCCTTCTCCAAGGATCATGTATTGGGCGATTCATGCTATAAATTAGGTTAACATCTAATGTTTAACATGCTTAATGGATTTCATCGAGATTGATTTTATTAAGGAACTTATAACCATGGAAGATTATTAATATAAAACTCTTGTGGTAGTTGCTCATTATGAAGGCTTATTTATGTTTTATGTGTGAATTATGCCATGCTTTGATTTTTGTTTGGAGTAATGGATAGATGCATCACATCATATGCAGAAGTGTGTGTCTTAGTACTACATAAATAACCTTGATGCTTTGGATTATTACTTTACTAGTGATTTATTTGAAAGGAGGGAAGTTGTAGAGGATTCATCTAAATTTAAGTGAGGTCTTAGAAAGGACATAGTAGCATTTTCAAATAGTGTTTCACTCAATGGCAATGAAACCAATAATTAATAATTATCATCATCAGCCATGTCCTAACTCGTTGAAAAAACTTTAAATTTTTGGGTCTTTCCTTCTTTAGCTCCAAGCAGTCCGTTTCCATCTAATGCAATCCAACAATCCATGGATAAACGTTTCTCCATTGGTAGCAATCTAGAAGTCCATGAATTGTTACATTTCATATTTGTTGTGTTTCTAATTCTAGATTTCATAATTAAAATTTGATTTTCGGATTTATTTCTTTATTGATAATTTTTTCTCTACCTATTTATGTATATTTTTCATTTTTTAAACATGAAATAAAAAGATAAATTCAATCATTATTTATCATTTTCTACTCTCTTCTCTCTTTATCTCTCTTTCTCTCTCTTTTTTAATTTTCATGATGCTATCCTAGAAATTAAGGCTCTATTATCTATGAGGTCAATGGGTAGTTTAGTATGGAGTTTGTCAAGGCTAGTTGTCTTTCTTTCACAAGTGTTATAAACTAATTTTTGTACCACTATAAAGAAGCCAGTGGTCAAAAAGTTTTTCGTCAGTGTACATAATATCTAAAACATTATTCAAGCCCTTCTACTTTCATTTTATCAGTCTAAAATCATAACTTTTATTCTTCCAAATTTAAGCTCTTATTCAAATCATTCTCATTTATCTTTTTAAGATTGAAATCCTTCTGTTTTCGAAGAAGAATATTTAGGTTTTCAATTTTCTTCCACAACATATTTTTATTTAGTTACTCTTCAAATTAGAAAGTGCATAAATACTATTCTCATGTTAATATAAATATTTTCAATTCAATGGTCATAAATTTCCTTGATCACAAACTTTATTATTCCAAACTCAACTTTTGCAGAGGAAATTCAAAAATAAGAATTTTTAGTTTGGAACTTATTGGATCATCTTTCTCTTATCAAATTTATAGATAATGAATAATTTTTATTGTTCTGCATTCAATCTCTTGAAGCCTCATTAAGAAATTTAGGATGCTCTTAAACTTGAGTGGCTGAAAGTTGTAATTGAAGAAATTTAGGTTTTAGAAAAAAGTGGTATGTGGGAAATTTTTTAAGTTGCCAGTAGAAAAAAAAATGGTAAAATGCAAATGAATGTACATTTAATTATCTTTTTCTTCATCGGCCTCATTTTTTTTGTATAATCATTTTGTTATGCTTTTGTGTTTTGCCATACAACTATTTTATCATTTTGATATCATCGATTTTTTTTCCCACCTAACATTTGGATCTGTAACAACATCACCAACCTACTAAGTTATAAAATTTACATTTATGTTTGCATGATATCCTACCATCACATAATATTTCAATTGCACTTATTCATTTAAGCACCTATTTTTAATTCTAGAACATTCATTCTCATCCATTGTCTCATTCTTTCATTTATCAAAGATCACTTTTATAGTCTAGTACTTTTATAATCGAATAATATACATGGATAGTTTTTTTATATTAAATATAAAATTTGAAATGCAATTTATGTTAGCAACATTTTTTACTCAAGGATCGTGTTATTAACAGATGCATTTCGTCATTGCCGTTCATTAATAGGTTTTTATTCCTTTTAGAGTTTAGGATATCTGGCCTGACCTGATGCTCAAGGTAATTGCTCTGAAAATGAAACTCTGTTGTCTTCTGATATTAATCAAGCATAATTTCTCTAAGGCATACATAGATTTCATATGATCTGCTTGAGGTCAGTACTTCAGAAGTTGAGATGTCCGCTGCAAGTTTCTTTAGGGCAACTTGGATTGCATTGTGACAATGCCATTCCTTTTCCCAGTAATGTCTCCACTTCAAGGTTTTGGTTATAGAACACATGGCCATCAGAAAAATTAAGTGGCAGTTAAACTAGTGAGTGATGCAGGTTGTGGTACCAAACAAGTTTGCTTAAGGTGCAGGTTTTGACATGAACATTTGCTAACTATATGTTAGATGCTCTTGTAAACCTTATCTGGAGATCAATCCTAACATCCCTTATCATGGTTACTTTTTCAATATTTTGTTAATCAATATGATCATTGCAATGTTTCAGGCAGCACTTTTTCCATTTGGTCATTTCATTTGATTTCTGATTTTTCTGACGAAGTTCCTCATCTTTTTGTTGTTTTTGTGTGAAACTATCAACATTTTCCTTCACATACGGTTGAACCTTAGCCAAGGAGAATAAAAATAAAATAGCATATTCTCAACAATGAGGAGATATAATAATAATAATAATAATAATAATAATAATAATAATAATAATAATTAGTGCAATTGGTATTTGTAAGTAGTACATTTAATTATTGAATATAATGTAGAAAAATCAATTTTGCAGCCATTAAGTCCGCATCCAGCAATGTTCCATTGAACTTAATCTTTCATATTCTTTTTTCACTTCAATGATACCTCAGTATTTGTTGGATTGTTTTTGCCACTTCATTAATTTCATGGACTAATGTAATTATTTCGTAATTATCATACCTACTCATTTATCGGTGGATTATTAGGATCATTCTTCGTTTATTTTTTATGTCTTTTATTAGAAGTACACTTTGGATGGTATAAATACTAGAAAAATTTTAGAATGAAGCGCCCAGCCAATCCTTGTCTCGGTATCACTAATTTTAGTTTTTTTCTTAGTATTTCTCTGAGCAGCATCCTTGCTTTGTTGCGTAGAACTTGTAAGCCATTATTGTTTCCTGTTTTGTTTCATTCCACCAATTCTGCAGCATCCTTCATTGCTTTGTTGCGTAGAACTTGTAAGCCTTTATTGTTTCCAGTTTTGTTTTATTCCACCAATTTTTCTCATTTGTAGCTTTCTTTGCTGCAACCTTTTCTTTACTCTTTTTTATGTTGGCAACCGATTGCACATTTTTTCCCCATAGGTCACAAAAATACTTATTTTTCTTATCTTACGTTCGTTTGAAACTGTGACCAACAATCCAAATCTAATAAGAGAATTTACATTTATCCATTAATATATTGTTTGAGTGGAATTAATTACTTCATATGATCATTATTTGTTTGCACTTTTTCAGAAATTAAAGAAATGTTTGGCTATTAAATTGGCATTTGACTTCAGAATGGCAATCTCATGTTTAATATTTGGGATGAACATTGGTTATGCCTATGTTATGGAATTCCATGGTTCCTGAAAAACTGACACCTGCATGTTCTTTCATTCAACCTAGGAATTTTGGGATATGGTAGATCAAACATATTTTAGTCTATGATGCAGCCCAAATCAATGAGATAAAAAACTATGATTTTGGCCACAAAGGAAGGAGTAGGATTCGTCACTTAAAACTCTGATCTACTACATGGCTTTTGGTAAGAGATGGATCATTATCATTATATCCAAATGGAATGTTGAAAAGATGCCTCCCATATAAGGTTTGCCGAAGAAGATTGATTTATAACTTTCTTGTTAGATTAAATGTTGAGTTTAATGCTGTAAGGTTATAAATTTTTGCAAATGAGTATTTACTTTTTTTAAAATGAAGTAGTCATCATCATTCAATCTAAAGTAGAGATAAAAAAGGAAAAGCAGATTTTAAAAATGTAGTGATCATCATTCAAAAGTAAAAATATATTTGGCTATTAAATTTGCATTCGACATGAGAATGGCAATCTCACATTTAATATTTGGGATGAACATGACAATATGGTGATGCCCAGGTTATGGAATCCCATGGTTCCTGAAAAAACTGACTCCTGCATGCTCCTTCATTCAAACTAGGATTTTTGGAATATGGTAGATTAAATATATTTTAGAGTCTATGATGCTCGGCTCAAATCAATGAGATAAAATATAGGATTTTGTCTGCCAAGGAAGGAGTATGATTCATCACTT